TCAATGTCTTATGGGTGCACAGCCTCGTTTAACCCTGACTGGTATCCTGCTCATTTTACAAAGGACAAAAACAAAATGCCAGGGAACTCAAAGAACCACCCATGGTTTCTTGTGGTGTGATGGTTTGTCTTCTTGTTGGTGGTTGATCCACCTGATCAGACCTAGAGCTATAAGGCCGGGGCTGTGTCTCGTCTGTTGTGTATCCAAACCACTCATGAGCTACATTAGTCAGTTGAACGTCTTCCTGCTCAATCTCCTCAGTCTGTTGTCCTCTGTGCTTTCATTCCTATCTGCTCTCAGGAAAATGTGCAGAGAGACCTGTGGTTAGAGCAGAACATTTTTATTTGCCTTTACCTATTTATGTAGGCTGAAAATGCTAATTACTTAAGGAACACTTATCTGAATAAAAGATAAAATCAACATTCATACCAAATGCATCTTTAATAAAACCACGCTATCAATGATCATATAGAGATGCTAACTGAATCACTATTCTCTGCCTTGAGAAAGTGATTTTTTTTAACTCTCACACTCAAATAAGTTTAAAGTATAATGAAGTCTTAAACATACGGATCATGAGAAACTGGACTGATCTGGAAGGGAGGGAGAAGCAGGGCTAAATTGACAAAGCAACCAGCTCAGGGCAGACACTGTTAGAAATGGCACATTTTTTTCTAGTGCCATCTACAAAACATGCATCTGAGAATATTGCAGACGCCTGAGTAGACGGAGAAGTGATAAGGGTGTGGCTATACAAGTATGAGAACGGACGGGAGTTCAAGTCCCCAGTACCCATGTAAAACACCAGGCACAGTCATGTGCGTCTGTAACTCTAGTACTCAGTGGGTAGAGTCAAGAAAATACCTTCCTTACCTTGCTGAGCAGTCAGGATAGGCCCTTGCTGAGTGCTCAGTACAGTGAGAGACCCTATCTCCAAAGATGATATGGGAAGGAATCATGGAAGATACCCAACATATCTAGGCTATGTCTGGCTTCCACATACATTTGCATATAGATGCAATGTACCAGAACACACACAAACACAGGAAAGAACGAGCATTATAATCGCACCTTTAGAGGTTAGAAATAGGCACAGGGCCCTTTAGATTTCTGATCTCCAGATAAGGTTTTGCATGAATCACCCACAGGCCTAAATTGAAAAGGCTTCCCGGCTAAGGGGGCAGCATCTTCTGCTTCCTGGTTCCTTCCAACTTCCCTACCTTTTTAACTACCCTTAGATTCATAGTTAGACCAAGGTTCCTTGGTTTGTCAGAGAATAACAACTGAATGTCAAGCTTGGGTGCCCTAGTCTCCGTGGCTACTGCACTGTCTACTATGGATAATGACATCCTCAAACATTGAAGTAGTTAAACACCAGTTGAGCACAAAAGGTACACACACGCCTTTGGGGGTTTTGTTTGTTGTGTGTTTGGTTGGTCGGCTTTGGTTTAGAAACTTAGGCGTGATGGGGACTGCATGACTTTATACCTGGAGACTTAACTACTACCAGCTCTTCTCAACAAGACATACTGCCTGGATGCTCACTTCCCCCTTCTAGTTTTATCACTGTGCTGCCCTATCCAAGGTCTTCAGCCGTAAGTGGGACAATCAGTTACCTACAAGGTCTGATTTGGAAGGCACTGAAAACTATCTCTGATTTCTTCCACTTGCCTTTATCCCCGCAATCTCCACAGCTCTTTCTCTAAGAAACTGAAAGGTTGTAACAAATGGGGGTTAGGGGAGGAGTGATAATATCATCCAAGCAGAGAATTAAACCATAATGAACTATTTATACCTTTGAATTAATTAGCTTATGAGCCAGAGTTTAAATGGGCCAAATGGGGCAGGAATCTTGGAAGGGCTCATCAAAGCAACCTGGACCGCGGTCAAGGCCCTTCCTGAAATTCAGGGTCCTCATTAGGAGAGATTTTCAAAGGCACCTACATAAGGCAGCTAAAGGGGAAAGGGCTTTCTGAAAACAACTCAAAGCAGATTCCCCTGATAGTTTTACATTTGACCTTAACTCAACTTTAATGCCAGGAACTGGATTTGATGATGGAGTTTAAGGAAGAGTCCTCCAGAAGTGTCCCAATATGGCCTAGCAGCAAGTCCCTAATATACCAGGTGTCTGCTCTGAACACATAAGGAGTCCAAACAAGCCACAGGACAACATCAAAGTCAATAAAATAAAAGTCCAATTTTGTCCCAAAGAATGTTTTAAAACTCCATATCCTCTTATGTCAATGGTAATTCCTCGGGGAAGTTAAATCTTGGTTTATCAGAAACCATTAAGTAACTTCTGCACATTCCAAACCCCCCTCAGACATGGACACAATGGCTATTTCTGTGACACCTCACACAGAAAATGAACCCCCAAGACCCCACTTGAACTTGATGGTCGTTAACTGTCCCAGCTCCTCCAAGCTCCCCCAAACGGGAAGTGGAATTATAAGACTGATCATAATTGGATTACGACCCATAATTCTTTAATTCATTCATCAAATTGAGGCATTTGGAACAGTTTATTTACGGAGTTGTTTAGACAGTTTTGTGTGGTGTTTCTGAAGATAAACCAAAATGCCTCTCTGAAATAAGTTTCAGGGCCCAAATCATTAACATATGAGACTCAAATGTAGACAATTTACAAACTGGTGTTTTAAAACATTCTTTGGAACAAAATTGGACTTTTATTTTATTAACCATCTACAAATCTCAGGATACAGTTTATACTTTCTGTGAAACAGACTAGCACTTTATTCGCCCCTTATATAAATTTATATTTCTTAAACCAAAATAAAAACAAAAAACAACTATAAAAAAAAAAAAACCCATGTGAGAGCGCATTTATTTCAGGCCTAGACAAATAGTTCCCTGTTCCATCCTCTCAGGATTCTAAGTAGATAGTTCCCCCTAACACAAGAGTTGATCAGGTACAGGGTGAATCACACAGGCTGTACTAATCAATCATATCTCATCAGCCACAATCAACATTAGAACCCTCAGCTCTGAAATCCAGGATTTCAGGAAATCTCAAACCAGAGTTTTCTCCTTCCTCTTGTGTTTGCTGACCCTGCCTTGAAAGTCACGCCTGCTTATCGCTCAGTGGGAGGATGACGCTTTCAACAGAGGACACATTCTTGTATGCATAAGCCTTGCCGTCTTATTCTGTGTTTTATAAGAAAAACATTTCTGCAAGAGGTCAAATTTCTTTCTTCGGAAAAGGAAAATTTGACATTTTAAAACTTACGCCTTACTCCAACATGAACCCCCGAAAAAGTTGTCATACCTGGCTGAGAAGTTCAATTCACTCCTTTCATATGACACCTTCTCTGTGTGCTCTGTGCACACAGAGTCTTAGAGTCTCTGCAAAGCATATACATTTTCTCTTTCACGGGGCCATACGTCAGTCTAAACAGGATGTGTGTCTACGTGTATGAGCCTAAGGTAACATGGACTAACTGCTGTACTTCAAGAGCCTCCTGGTGATTGAACTGAGCTTGGCAGAAGTGAGTCCTGCGTGTGTGTAACACGCATCCAGTCAGGACCCTTTGCACACAATGACAAAACTAATTCAGTGCTTCTGTCTTAAGAAGTAAAGCATTCTCCGAGCACTAGAAGCTTATACTGTTGTTAGAATAGCCCAAAACTACCCATCCAAACAGAGTACAGAAAGAAGAAGAAGAAAACAATTAAACTGGAGAGCAAACAGAGAGCCTTGAGAACGTAGACCACTGGAAAGAAAGGGAGGAAGAAAAAAGAAATTCTCTCCAGGATGCTGCTGTATAATTAACACAAATAACTAAATAATTATGCATATCCCTTCCCACCCCCACAATTAAATGTTTTTAAACAACTCTGGTGATGAAAGATCCACCTTTTAGGCAAACAAAGCAACCCCTGGCAGTTTGAGGATTTGAGACTGGATTGCGTCAGTTTTTTAAGTAATGCCTGCGATTTTTATCTCCAGGAGTTCTGAGGAGGAAAGAGTTGATGGCATAATTTCCAAGAGATCTTTGCACGGTGCCCAGGAGAACTTTCGGTGTAAGCGCTTAATGTTTTAAATCACTCCAACTGAATTTATCTAGGCTTTGGCCTGGGAGCTATATTTAAATCAGGAAGAAGCACCCCCTGGAAGCTGGGCTCCCTGTATCTGCTTCTGAGAACAGATTCCTCCCCTATCTGAGCAAACAGCCATCCTCAGACAGCCGGATTCCTTTAAAATGAGACAGATCAAAATTTAGTGGTTCTGTAGAGTATGAAATTGTCCTCCTTTTAAATGCTATAAAAGTCAAACTTGGGGTGGGGGGGAACACTTCCGTATACTTTAAAGAACCATCTGGCCCTCAACCTGACCACTCCTGGTCATCAAGCCCCCCACCCCCAACTCTGTTCTTTTTCTGATTGAAAACCTCTCTTGCCTATAAATCTCCCACCAGCATCTCAGTGAGTGTGTGTTTGTGTGTGTGTGTTTGTGTGTGTGTGTGCTACTAGAAGCCATTATTTATGAACACCAAGAAAACAAATCACTGTCCTCTCTTCTGCTAGCCGATTCCCACACTTATTACCCCAAATCCCACAGATTTCCCTGTGTCTTGCCCTTGACTGTAGAGCCATGCTGAGCAGAAAAGACTCTCTGGGGAAATCTGTCCCCGTGCCCTTTCTTAAGAAAGTCCTCTTGATATCTAAATATTGTGAACATCTCAACTGGATTAGAATACATTTCCAAACTTTTGTGAGGCAGAAAAGCCAATGGCCACCTAGAGTATCCCGGGTGGCCAGCCCCAAAAGTGTGGTCTCTGCAGTAACACACACTTCCTCATTTTGACCTGGTTCAGCCGATTAGGAAAGACTGAAAATGAATTCACATTCCTCACTCTTAGGCACTGAGACCAAACAGTTTATTAACATATTCACTTTGCAAGACTATTAAAAATATGAGAACTGTGTCCCGTGGATCTGAGGCCGGCCGATTGAGAACTCCAAAAACTGCTGCTTTCAAAGGCACACATTCCCTAACTCGACTTGCTTTCAACCCTTGTGACCTCTGTCCCCTACTTCTTGCTACCTACAGTAGCTATGCTGTGCAAGCGGAGAGGGACACAGCACGTGAGTAGTTTATACTTTGCCCAGAGTGAGGGGCAGTGTGTGTGTGTATGGGGGGTGGGAGAGAGAGAGAGAGAGAGAGAGAGAGAGAGAGAGAGAGAGAGAGAG